GGAGTGTCTGGCATTTCAGTTTTGCCGGAAAACAGGAAAAAAAATGAGTGCCACCTAAGAATTGCAAGAAATCAACAACAGATTTTACCACTTTCAGATCGAATAAGTTATTCATAAGAAAGCAGTTCATGGTCAAATTGTATCACACTTTTTTATAATGAATCTAAACTTAGAAAATGGATGTAAATTTCTTTCTTCTGTTTTGTACAAAGCAGAACAAACTCCTGCATCAAGACTGATTTTCATCTGTGATTTACATCAAATGTCACTTTAAAAAACAACAACTATGCCCTTTGTAATGTACAATCAAATATTTGGCACATTTATATGTTTTTCCCACATCAAAGTTGTCAGAAAAAAATCATAAACACAATTAACATGTTAACTAAAGTCTGCTGACAGACATTTTTTGTGGTTTAAGGTTCTCTTTTAGTCCAACTGAAATATTTATCTTTTAGTAGTATTTTTCCAAATATGTACAATGTTGAGAGTCTGAATTGTTGAATAATTTTAAGAACAGAAAGCAAGGACAATAGAACCTTCTAAAATTTTGTTGAAAGCCATTCATTTGAAAGTCTGTATTGAAATTGGCAGAAATTGAAAGCACAAAATCTGAGATTCATAAAGTTGTGAAGTTCTTCAAGGATCACCTAGCCCAACCCCTGCTGAAGCATAAATAGATATTTTACCAATTTGAATAAGTACACTAAATTGTGTGAAATCAATATCAAATTACAAATGTTATATTTCATGACAATCTTAAGAATGAAAAAGTCTTTAAAAATACTGTCAGTGCATATATTTATGTAGTGATGTTTGAAAATTTGTTAAAAATCCCAAGGGCAAAATATAGCTTTACTGTAGCACATTATAGTACATAGCATGGATAGCATTATAATCCTGTATTGTAATCCTGTACTCATAACATTTTAGGGTTAAGGTTTATATCTTGGACTAAGAGGTGGAAAGTATGCTTATCCAATTGGTAGATAATACAATATTAGGTGGGATAGCTAAAATTCTAGAAGATAGAAAAAATTATTAATAATAAAGAGCTTAAAGACATGCCTGAAAATAACAGAATGAAATTTCACAGTCACACTTAAGAACCATAAATCATCAACATGTGGCTGGATTCATATATCAAGTGAGCTACAAACAAGCTAAAATACCTAGTCAATCAGGCCATATACATAATATTTAATTCTGCATATTCTGCAAATCCACAAAGTATAGTAATCAAAAATGTTTATCATGGATATAAGTATAACTGCTAGTGGCAACTCATGAAGCATTTCTGACCTGCTCTCGAGTTGCCATAGGCAGGGGGATGGGGAACCGAGCCTCGCAGCTGCAGCGAGGGAATCACACTTCAGTCAAAACAAAAGCACATTCCAGCCTTCCCTATGTCAAAGCTGTTGTGTATTGTGTTACATAAAAAAAGGGCCAGCAACCACTCTGCTGAGCCCTGATTGGCCAGGAGGGCATTGGAGGCTGTTGCTAGCCTCCAAGAAACATCTAATCTACCCTGATTGGCCAAGGTATGGCAGCAGCAGTTGCTGTGCAGTACCTGGCCCCTGATTGGTTATTGAGTTGTTACATTTCCTATAAATTCTGGGCGCAATCTGTTAGAAGTGGAATCGC